CACAGCTACTGTCAGGCTCACAGCTACTGTCAGGCTCACTCTCTCGATCCTACTTACGCCTACATTCATGCTCATAACCACCCTCCCTCTCATGTTCACGCCCGTCACACGAAGGATAGCCCTCTGCGTAGTGAAGTCATCAGCCGTATTATAAAGGCATCATTACACCATGACGTTGACGTGAACGTGATCGTCCATAAAAGGGATGGCAATCGTGAGTATGAGAGAGAGAAGAGCGGATTATAACAAAATGTGCACAATATACAAATAGCTTAACGTTTATAGAACCTAAAAGCACATATTACGTGTTTGGTAAATTGCTAATTTTACTCTGAAAGCGTGAATGTGTAATCGTTTGTACGATAGTTTGGTCTGTGGAATTAATTCTTTTAATGTGAATTATTTCATCGAATAATTTGCTACCGAAAATACACAAATGCATTGCAAGTAAGAAAGTGTAAGTTGTTCCATGAAATTGTTTCTCTAAATGGAGTTTCCGGATTCTATCTGCCTTTTTGGTTTGATTTTTTTGTTGGGTCATTGCGTTCCATTGTGTGTTTTTAAACATTTTGCAGTTGCATCGGTGTCGTACTGTTACTTTAACGGTCACTTCTTGATGGCTATCATATGGAATCCTGTTCTCGGTCGTTTTCCTCATTTCCGTAAACGGTCGTTTACGTGAGATGCCTGCCTATCGCATGGTATCTCATGTTATGTCACCACATTTACACAATGCTTCACTGTTTCCGGTTTCCGGGAAGTCACACAACTGACGCTGTTGTAGGGCATGTAGATTGTGGATCGTGGGACTAACTGTTAGGTCCGATAGGAATTTAATGAATTTGAGTCTAAGTGAGGTTGAAAAGATTTGCAAATTACTGCAATATCAACTAAAATTAGAATCTCATACATTAAATAATGTTATTGAGCGGTAAAATCTGAATATATAGCGCAGTATTATGGGAAACAGAAAATATGCTTTAACAACGGTATAATGTTTGTAAACCGTTTAGTAATTATTAAATTCCAATATTTTACTTAATAGAGGAGCGTTTTCGCTTTCAAAAGCGAAACATATAACGAAATATTTTGCTACTACAGGAAGGTGTGGAAATGAAATTGTTTTGTTAAATTTCAAAATATTGATTACTACGTTTATATTGACAAAGAAAGGAGGAATTTTCCATTTTTGGAGTCTCCTTGCATAGAGGTGACGTATATCGTACATATACATATCGGACATATTATATGTACTAACATTTTAATATGTGACGTCTTTATTGTCGAATCTGTGCACGTGATTTTAAATATTCCATATTATTAAGAATCAGTAGCTAATTAATTTTAAATATACTCTCCCTTCTGGATGTGCAATATTTTTTTAAAATATTTTAATTCTTACATCTTGCATGTTACACCCAAGCTACTATTCCTCTCCAGTTACCAATGAAAGGTTTGGCAACTCTTATATCGCTGGTTACAGTTCTTGTGTCTATTATTTGCTGTCCTTGTTTCAAAATGTATAGTTACCTGAAAGAGTGAAACGTCCTACTCCTTATGCTTTGCTCAGGTACTAACATACATTCGGCACTACTATACAAATACTTCTAAGCACCTGCCGTCTTAATGGAGGAGAGTGTGCTAGACAGATTTTAGAAATTGAAAGCTCTGGTGTAGTTTATGATAATTTAATTTCGCATAAAGCTTTTTTCAGACTCGATGTTGTTATCATAAAACTACGTCAGATACTTCAATTTCTAAAATCGAAAATATCATGATCACCACATGACTTCCTGCTCGCAAACAGTTTTTTTTTATTTTTCATGTGTTGGTTCGCAGGTCTCCATGCGGCGGCGACAGGGACTCGGACGGCGGGGTGGCGCCTCTGCCCCCGTCGCCGGCGCCCACCCTGCCCCCGCGGCTGCCGCCGGCGCGCCCGGCCCCCTCGCGCCCCCCCTGCCGTCTCGCCCCCGCGCCGCGCCCCTCCCCCTTCCCCCGCGCGGGCGAGACGCTACTTTGTCCGTCCACCCACGACGAAATCGCGGGGCCGCCGTTCCCGCTTTGCGCATCGAGTACTCGCCGTTGTCCCTAGCCGCGCCACGGCCAGCCTCCTGCGCTCGCCAGACGCCTCCCGACGCCTTCGCGCCGCCGCACGCCACCTCCGCCCCCAGCACCGCAGCTCGCACGCTTGCACTCGCTCGCGCCCCGCGCGGCGCCCGCGCCCGCCCAGCCCCGGCGCCCCTGAGACCAGCCACAAACCCGCTCTTTACTTCACGCTGTACGCCCGCTGCGGCTGCTCGGCGCCCCGTCTCGCGCGCGGCCCCGCCCCGCGGCCCCCGCCCCCCCGCCCCCTGGGCTGCCGTGCCCAGCCCGGATGACTCATTCTAGCCCCTCGGCGCGGAAAAAAAAAGAGAATCGATGGTTAATCGCCTCGAGAGCTCGTGTGGCTCGCGTGACGCGATTCCCGATGGGCGCCTTCTTATCGTTGTCTCTCTCTGTAAACAGAAGTTGAAATTGTCTAGTGCACTTCCTTCTTGCAGAAACTGCAATTAGCTGGAATTATGTTTTATGAAATATTCCGTTTATCTTACTGTTTCATGAATTTCTCCTTTTTCCCTTTAAAGGCCTATTGACTTTGACTTCTGTCCCCTTGCGATTAAACTATCTCTTTAATTATTGCCTCAGCCGAGCACATCGGCAAAACAGGAAACTAGAGATGTGTGTAATATTTTGAATTGATTTATTCGTCTGCAATCCTTGAAGCACCATCTTCTCCATATTCTGTCAACTGTAGAACTATCTATTTAAGGCAAAAAGTACTTCTATCTTCATCATTAACTTGCGGATTGAGACCTTCACCTCTAGCACACTTGCTCTTGACCTTTAACTCCGACGCTTTTACTTATGTAGTTCTTTTATCTAATTTATGAACAGTGTATTAAGCAGAGATGTAAGGCCAAAGGTCACTGCAATATTGATGTGATTTTTATAGCAATTTGTGAGGACTATGGAATAATTATTCTATGTTAACTCTGTACATTTTTGTAATAAATATGTTGAAAAACACGGTTTGTTTTGTAGCAGCTACTCATCACAACGGAGCAAGCTGTGTGCACCAAACTTTTACATTTGTTTCTAAAGCGTCAAAGTAAGTCTTTATATATTACAGTATTTCATCTTCTATTTAGTTCGTGTGGAATCATCTTTCGAATTTGTTCTTTAAGTCGGTGATTTATGTCGGTGTAACAGATTTGTCAAAGTTAGTGGACTGACAATTTTGAGAATGAGACTTAAAAAGAAATTATTTGCAAATAAAAGAAAGCAAAGTCAAAAGTGCCTTGTAAATAATCTGTGACATCTAAGTGTAGTAGAACTTTAAGTTGTCACTAGAAACTAGAATTTTAACGTATTGGGCATCCCTTCCACGAAATTGTTCAATAAATTTCTGACATTCTTAAAAGACTTTCCAATTGATAATTTAGTGACAGACGTTAGAAGTTTTGTGAAAAATTGGACTATTCCTGGGTTTCTATGATTTTTATTGCATAAAAAATCGTTTATATGCGCCTATTTTGTAAGAAGCTGGATGGTATTGTCACTTGCTTTATCAGATAAGTGATGTTCTTAATGTTTAACTGAAATGGAAGAAACGTTGTCGTTTAACTGAAAAGAATTGTCGTCTTAATCAACGTCGTCTTTTCCGGCTTTACTGAATCATACACACACAGAGTGAATGTACTACAGGAAGAATTGCCACTTTAGGCATCACTATTGGTTATTCCGGCATAAGCACGCACGTGTAATAACTCTTGTGTCGTGCGGATCTGTCTTTTGTAGGAAATTAGAATGTAGATTTGTGATTAAAAAGTAGCTAGTATGTAGCTTAAAAACTCTTCAACCTCTATACGAGTATGTAAATTATATTTGTAACTTATATTACTATAGTGCGGCGGAATTCCTCTTGGTTGGATACCTTTTGTCTTGGACATCCTGTATCCATCATGTTTCTTGGAGCCACGTTATATATTACAATTTTATTATTATTCACATGATGTTTTCAATGTATATTTAAATTGTTTCCAAAGAATTAAAAGGTCTCCAATTTACAGGGATTTTACTGAATCTATGAATACTCGTTTACATGACCTGACATTTTCTAACTCAGGTATTGATCCATTATTCCCCACCTTTTCTCGTTCATATTCCCGCAATGGTATGTCAAAATTTCCTTGAATCGTTCTACTTGTCACTAACAACCCCCTCTATGATTAAAATACGTGTGTAATTCAGACGAACCGTCAATCACTGTGATGAATTGTGATCACAGTGCTGGGCGTTTCCCTTATCATTATTTATCCCTAGTGTCATGACGACTTAGAGGGGTCACCTACACACCTATTTTAATCTGTAAGAAAAAAAGAAAAAGAAAAAAGGTTGTCTCCCGTTGGCGGTTCGCTGCGCCCACCCCGGCTGACGCGTGCCCTCCCACAGCACAACCGTTCGCGCGTGGACTCTGTGCTGGACAGCAGCCTCTCGCCCGACGAGCTGCCTCGCAAGGTGCGGCGGCGCCTCGTGCTGCCCTCGGATGCCGACCGGCCCTCCTTCGGCGCCTCCGCCTCCGCCGGCAACGCCGTGGGCCTCCCGCTCGCCGCCTCCATCTCGCCGCTCACGCGCCACCTCCAGAACCTGCGCCTCAGCAGCGGCAACTCCTCCGGCAGCGGCAGCGGCAGCGGCGCGTCCCACAACAACAGTGCTCTAAGCAACAATAGTTACGTGAATAATAACAATAATGTGCTCAGGGACAGCAACCGCTCCGTCGCCCACAGCAACAGTGCCAATAGTGGACTTGTTAACAATAATAGCTTAAGTAGTGGCAACAACGCGGCTCTTCTTAACAACAATAGTTTAAGCAGTGGTCACATTGCAGCTTTAAGCCATAACAACAGTTTAGTACCTGGTGGAATTGGAAATTTCCATAATAACGATAGTTTAAATAATGTGAATATGGAAGTTATTCACAATAATAACGATCTTCATAGCAATATGGAGAACGCTAACAATAACTGTCGAAACAACGTACCGTTCAACAAAACGATCGTCACGAGTGCTACCAGCATCTCAATGCTCCAGCAGTCCCATATTTCTCCGTCCTCGTATCCTGACTGTACGATCCAAACCTCCGTCCACCAGAACGTCACGCGAGCCACCCTGGCTCACGACGTAACGGATCCCCGCTTCCTCAGCATGTTTTCGGCAGTGACGACGACAGCGACGACGACGGCGACGGTAGCGACGACGACGTCGTCGTCGACGCCGCCCGCGGAGTGCACTGCGGCGGCGGACGACCTCGCGCGCCAGACGGACGACTTCAAGATCTGGCGACAGAACTCGCTGCGGCGGGTGCGCACCGTCACGCAGACCAGCGAGGACGGCCCGCCGCCGGCCAAGATGCAGCCCCAGCAGTCCTCGCCGCCCGCGGGCCCCGGCATCGGCCCCGCCTCGGGCGCGCGCCGCCCCAGCCTCCAGGTGAGGGCCGCACCGGTGCACACCGCTTTGGGTCGATGGCTGATATAGGATTCCAAATAGACTGAGGAGATACTTTGAATGCCCGTCACCCGTCACACGTTCCCCTCATTCACTGAACCTTTCAACGTGGGATGTCGCCTAAGACTTTATCCTTTCCTCTCTATAGTTCTCCGTACTTAGACGTTAGGGGGTTTCCATTGTATGATAGAATGCCGTAGATAGGCGTCTGGGGTTGGAGACCCAAGGCTGCAGTTATTCTGCCCTAAGCAATTTCTTTCTCGACTCTGCGTACAGTTCCTGTCTTTTAACTTGCATTGGGATGCTTTCTTACCCATTGAATGGTTGACCTTCAATTTAATGGATTTTCATTTGTCATATTTAAAATCTTTAATGAGTCTGTTATAGGGAGGTCTCACTGCAACAGCAGCAAAAACATTTTAACGGAGTCTAATTCTTCAGTTCTTTCTAATTAACTATCAATATCTTAACTAATTCTTTAGAGGTTGTTAACACAATTATTTTTAACGTGTCTAAAATTTATTCGAAAGGGGGGGATTTTTGAATAGCCTTCAGTAGTATTGTGAATTTTTTCATTCTGTGTTATAGTCCGTAAACCTCGCAATGTTGAGTTTATCAGATTTTGTATAAACAATGTATAAACTCTTGAGGATAAGGCAGCATATCGAAAAAGTTAAATGATGAAATTGACATGATAAAAGTAGAACGTTGTGAATACCTCATATTTATTTTCGCAATGGCCACTATTTATAATGTTGTGTCGGAGATTTGGCCTCTGAAAGTGGACGAATGTCTTTGTCGCTTTCTTTACGATTAATTGTGGGTATTGATTTTACTTGAACGAACGTGGACGTGTTTCTTAGGCTTCCGCGGTCGGAATCATTGGACACTTGGCTGTCCGTGCTAAGCCGCGTCTTAATCGATCGAGCTGACGTTTCGGCCATCGTGTTGTGGAATCTCTGACGAAGGTCCCAACACGATGGCCGAGACGTCAGTTCAATCGGCTGAGACGCGGCTCATCCCGGACAGCCAAGTGTCCAGTGTTTCTAAGCGGGCGTCTCTTGGCATGATGTTCTTAGGACCGCCGCCGGCAGCGCCGCAGCCTCCGACGACGCTCGCGCTCCGCGGGCGGTCTTCCTTCGAGCGGAGGTTGCTCCGTGCGCGGCCTGGGCGACGGCGTCTTCGCCCTGGAGCCCGCCCCCACCCCCGCCCGGCGCTCCAGCCTCACTCGGCCTGACGCCACGACGCCCGTGAGCCACGCGCTGTTCGCGTCGGCGGGCGCCGCAGCACGGGCAGCAGCGGGCAGCGCACCGAGGCGTGCGTCGCGCCTCCACCAGCCGGAGGAAGCGACGACGACGAACTTTCACCTGCGGCGGCGCGGGGCTTCCGGCGGCGCGGCCGGGCGCGCGTGCGCCTGCTGCTGGACCCGGCCCGCGCGCGCCCGCGGCGCAGCCCGCGACGCGTGCCCGCGGGAGATGCGGCGGTCACCCTTGCCCGAGGCATCCAGCCCCGCAGCCTCACCGCCCCAGTCGCCGCGCCCGCGAGCAGCGGCGGCGCCGGCGGCGGAGACGACTGCCACGACGACCGCGACGCGCCCGCCCCGCCCCCCGAAGGCGCCCTGCTGCCCAGCTTCAGCACCATCCGCTACGGCCTCGCCAGCTTCCTGCCCGATCACTTCCCGCTCGCCAGGGGCTTCACCCCGTCCGCCTCCGCGGCGGCCCAGCGCTGCGAGGAGGAGCACTTCGCGCAGCACGGCCACGGCCACGGCCACAGCGGCGACGTCCACATGGACACCAGCGCCAGCAGGAACACGCCCTCGCCCCGCCAGTTTCGGACGGAAGTAAGTGCGCGGGCGGATGTGTGAAGTCGTGTTCTTGAAATTAGTTTCGCGATAGAGGAAGAAAGCCTCGTATAACGAACACATCTATAGCGATATCTTTACTAACATTCATTGCGTATTTTCCCTGAGATTCATGCTCAATTACACTGGCTGCTATTAGGATCTAATCGAGGGAAATAACTCGAAAGGTAATTAACCTTTTTAGAGTATATGTATTTAGAGTAATGACAATAATAGTTAGAAATAACAATTATTCTTGCTAAACACACTAATTTTGATGACGAATATGTCCATTTCTATGATATTTAATGGATTGTAATGCTGTAAAAAATTGAATTTTTATTAGTTTTTGAAATAACAGTTTCGAAAAGTATATAGTCTTCGAATCTTATTCGATTTGTCCTAGACTGTCGCAGAGAGGACTGTAACAATGTTTGTTTCTTCTGTACGTTCTGTTCATTTGATTCTTCCCCTCGCAGGCGCCGCCCGATGCCGTCCCCGTGAAGGCCCTGTGCGGGCTGACGCTGCCCGCGGGCATCCCGAGTCCGCCCAGCCCCGAGCCGGCGGCGCCGCGGCCGGCGGGGTCCCCGCCCTTCCGGATCCCCGCCCTGCCCGGCCAGCAGCCGGCCGTCGCCGCACCCGCGCCCTGCGCCGCCACCCTCCTCAACGACGCTCCGTCCGCCGCCGCCGCCAGCTCTTCCTCCGACGAGCAGGCTGGCCACTCGTCGTCCTCGGAGGACACGTGGAACTCGCACCGCATGCACTTCATGAAGACGCCGCGCCTCAGCAAAGGCCACATCCTCAGCCAGCAGCCGCTGTCCGCCACGCCTCGCCCGTGCGACCTCACCCCCGCGCGACCTGGTGAGCTAATTGCTAACTAAATGACCGATGGAACGGGAACGGTGAAAGCTTGCAAAGTTAAAGGAGGAAATATCGTCAATGCTCCCAAAACATTATTTTTTGTGTTAGTATTACAACTAAGTACTTGTTATTTATAAGATTCCCAGTACTAACTTTTTTTGCAAAATGTTTATCTTGAATATTTGCAATGAAACTCAATGGGAAGCAACGACCGGTGGCGTAATGTTCGGTCCCAGAAGGCCTGCAATGCGGGCAGGCCCGGGTAAAAGAGGGCCCATTTTTAGTTTTTTTATTATTATTTAAGATACTAACTCTACTTGTTTGCTCTACACTTACTAAGGAAGCCCGGGCAACAGTTTTTCATGCGGGTCTGCACTCATTCCGTTACGCTACTACTAAGGACTTTATCAGCAATAAAAGTCGAATGTCACGTTAGTTAATCATTCTGTTGAAACGAAGACACGGAAGTATATTTGAACGCTTTCATTGAGACGTGGATTAAATGATCCTGCTGTGCATTATGTAACTAATCAATGTTGAGATATAAACCTTACCTACTTCACAATTTTACGGAAACAGAGAGATTGCAACACTAATTTTAATCTTACTGTCTCAAAATAGCCAGGTATGTAAATACAATTTTAATCGGTCTACATTTAATTTCGAAATATTCGTAATATGAAACGAATTGGAAATGTAAACCTCGCGTGAGTAATATGAAATTGGGTAGCGTCATCACTTGAATCTGCAAATGAAAGCATTGTATGGAGTGTTGAGGTATCATTTTACAGGAGTATCGCAAGTTCAAGCTTTCTCTTTAAACTGTTTTGACGATCACATTGAGAAGCATGAGTCATTGTCGACCCGCCAACTACGCACAGACCATTTCCTTTTCAACCCCCCTCCTCCCCCTCCTCCAGCGCTCCAACTCCATCCCACTTGTTTTCCCCTCGTTGCAGCTGCGAGCGGCGTCGGCGGCCACCCGACCTCGTCGACGGCGTGCGGCGGCGCGTTAGGGGTGGAGGAGGGCGGCGCGGACAGCCCGCTGGCGCTGGTGGAGCAGAAGTCGCGCTCGCGCCGCTGCCTCACCTTCTCGTCGCCAGGCGGCAGCACGCGCCACCGCCGCTCGGCCTCGCGGCGGTTCGCTCCGTGGCGGCGGCCGCGCGATGGCGCGCAGGTGCCGGCCACCCCGGACGCCGCCGCCGCCGCCTCCCCGGCGCTTACGCCCGGCGCCACCCCCCAGCGAGCGCCTCAAGGTACGCGCAAGGCGGGACGTACGCCCGATGACAGTAATTAGATCTGCCCTGCGGATGTTGAGGACTCGTTGGAAATAGTTTTTACATATTTTATTTCGCATTTTTTGGGGCAAGATAATTTCTCGACTTAATCATACATATTTTGGTATACCAGTGTGTTCGAATAATAGTAATTGGATCTCCCTTGATGGCCTAATGAACCGTAGAAAGTAGAGAATTGAATTCACAACGTTGAAATACCTTCAATCATTGTTAGTTAAAAGCCGACTTATTATTCGTAGGTAGGAGAGTGTTGGTCGATGTCTTGTATTTACAATAGAAATAATCAGATACATCTTAGAAATTATGATAGTACAAGGCCACGTAAAATGTAGGGATTTCTTGCATGCAAATTAAGCTAATTTGCGACTTTTCAAACGTGGATTGATATGTAGACTCCATTAAAATATACTAGTTTGTAATAAAGTAATCCATCAAAGAATGTTCGATCGAATATGCCTACTAAATAGTAATAATTAATGATATTTCACAAACATTTACGAACAAAAAATGTTCCATTAGTAACTATTCGTAATTATTAAATCTTTTCATTAGGCTTATTTTCATTCGCATTCAAGAAGTTCAGAAGCTATACATATTAATATTTAGGACCTACCGGGTCTATTGGTTGAAGGAGATTGAATTGAATTGAATTGAATTGAATTGAATTTGCCTTATTTCTGGAGATCTGATAGTAATAATAATATCCATAGTTGTTCTTAGTCAATCTTTTACCATATTACAGTTGCAAGTTCGCATGAAATTAACGCAAAAAATATAAGAGTGTAATCTGAATTTAATTTTCTCTCTCGCTTAATGTTTTTCTCAATATTGCACTTGATCACAATAAATATTTCAAAATCACAAGTTCCTTCAATTAATACTTTTCATACTCTTATCTACTTTTGAGTTCTTGGCAATAACGTTTCGTCATGTCTCTAGCTTCTCATCATTTTTAGAACTTGTTAATATAAATATAACATGGCACAATATAAAATAGATGACACTCATTGCTACAGATCTTTCCGTAATTTTTTGTAAGTTTGGCAATTATCGAAACGAAAATAAGTAATTGTGCAAAATCAGGGAATAAATGAGGAAAATGTAAAACATTGCAAAATGATGGAAATAAAACACGTGTATCAAGAATATTATGAATTCTCACATGTTTTTCCCAAAACTCTTTTATTTAATAGTAAACGTGCGAAATATACTTTTTGCTACAATTAAAAGAAAGGATTCTGAATTGTGGAGCGTGGAGAAATTCGCTACATTTTTTCAGTATTTGAGTCTTAGCACTTTCAGAAGGAGATGCTTTTGCTCATTTTAAGCTGTAGCATGTGTCACGAAAGGTAATTTCTATTAGTTGGTTTTATTACTTCGTTCTTGTCATACAGTTGCATTCTGTGTTTTTTGCATCTTTTCTGGAACGTTATACTTTCGTACCTCGTCTGACCAATCTCTTGCTTTACAGGTGAATTAGAATTATCCATATATGGAAACAGCGGGCTATTGACAATTCACGGTGAGTTTTCTTCTACTAACATTATAAAAATGTGTGTGCATAATCACCTCACAAAACTAATTGTCAAGAAATGGATTTTGCTGGTTATTTTATTGAATTTTTATTTATTCATAGTGCTTTGCGGTCGCAACCTCAGGAGATCTGGAGGAACTACATGCAACGCTTATGTAAAGGTAAAAAAAAGTTTTTTTTCTTTACGAATATTCTCTTATAGTTTTTTGGATTACCTGTTCAGGTTGAAGTTTAAGTAAGGTTTTGTGTAATGTATTTTTATGGTTTCATATTGCTATTCGACGGTAAAGTTTAAGAGGTATTTTTGTTGAAAGTATATTTAGTTATTCGAACAAACTTTCCAACGTTTTGTGAGTGATTGTGTTTTGATGGAGTCGCGTAAATAAAATATATTAATATATTGTATATTTTAGTAGACCTTGGAATTTGAATGATCCCACAAATGTAGTGAAATTATTCTTCTCCGTAGCATTTTTGCCGTCATGAGATGGTTCTCCAGTATCGTAGCATTTATTGTACTTTGAGCACTTCAGTTTTGTAGTTCTGTTTAACGAATAACAGGTGACGAACTTAGTCATGCCAATGTCACTGGATCGTCATTCCGAATTTTCATTTTATTTCTCTCCCTGTCTCTTAATGACGAATGCATCGACGGGATTTGTGGGCAGCCGGGTTATTAGGGATGGCACCAGACGACAGTGGGAATACATAAATATAGATATTAATATTTCTTTATCAGCATGTACGTTGATACAGTATATTCTTTCTTTTACATAAAAGAATCGTCTTATCTGCATTCTGGCCACACTTGAACAACATGATACTTGAGTTATACTGTGTGCTTTCGCCGCCATCACCCACAATCACTACCTTGTTAGTACCTGCGCTCGCCATTTCCACCATCTCTTCTCTCCGCCAGCTGATACTCGAATTATTTTCTGGCGACCGGCGACTTGTTTTAGTGGAAATCTCAGAGAACGTATCGTAAAATAGATGCGACGTAGTTCTCTCACTCTTAGAACAATATCGATCAGCCTTGAGAACTAACGTATTCTGCGTTTGCCAAGACAATCGTCGAAATGTTGGCCAACCAAACTTCGAGGCGGTGGCTTCCGGACATCTGAGAACCACCACGCATTTTGGGGAGATTTCCTTTGTTTGCGGGTCGTTATCTCAAAGCGATGGCGACTCTCAGTCGAGGATAGTGATGGGACGACTTATTTAGGACGACACACTTAAACAAGCTTACAACACCCTTAAAAATATTTGAGAAACAATCTTTCTACAACCCTCAGTTTACGTAGATACGACGTACCCTCTCCTTTAAAGTCTATTGTAATAAAATAACACCTCTGTCTTTGCGTCACAACTTTATAGTGTGACACGCTTCTGCCACTGCTACAGCCACAGTAAACTTGACTGTCACCTCCGCAATCACAGCCGCTTATTAGTCAAAACCTCTTTCCAGTCTTTCCTTCGTCGCCACTTGATCCTCGAATTCATTTCAGGCGATTTAACCATCAGCCTGCGACTTCTTGTCTCCGATTTTTTTAAGAGTAGCATACTTGACCAGTGCAGCGGGCGCCGCGAACTATTCCACCACAGTTCTCCCTCGTTTGTCGAACAATGGCGATCGCTCGCCAGAACGAAAGGCCGCTCCACAGTAGCCCGCGAACGGGAACGGCAACGCGAAGGATAGGTCGATGGCGGGGATGGGGACGGGGATGGGGCGGGAACGCGAACGCGACCGCGACCGCGAGATACGTGCGCTTCACAATAAACGTTAACGGTAGGAGGAATAGCGCTACGAATTTGCAGCTGCAAGAGAAGACAACTTAAACAGTTGCCGAAACCAATGCACTTGTAGCTAAAGTACTGTGTTCACTCTTTGATTTGCCATCTACCTGTTGTGCTATGAACAATAAATACTTGAATGAAGTAATGTTAAATTGAAAAAAACAAAATAAGAATGGAAATATGCAAAAACTATTACGAACTTACGGAAAATACAACAAACTAAAATTGTATCAAAAAATCTAACAACTTCAGGGAGAAGGCTTTATAGAATTCTGTTAAATAATAAAACATACTTTTTATTACATTGTATATTTTTGTACTATGTATATGATACTACACAACAATATTTTTTAAATAATTACATAATTCTAACATAAATATGTAAATAAATTTTGCTACATAATGGAAGGTAAACTTATTTTATTTTTCGTGCACATTTCCCATTTTAATTTTTTTCTCAAAGCATGGCTCCGTGACCCCGCCCCCTTCCCCCGTGGATCAGCTCTGTCGCGGGCTGTTGTGAAGCGGCCTGAACGCTTTGCGAGAACCGGGAGCGGTGTTTTCGCGGCGCCCTCCCACCCAATGCGGTGCCGACTCGAGGCGGGCGCGCTCGTAAACTGTTAGCATTGTGGCGCCCGCAAATGACTTAATGCTTTGCGTCCATTGCAGCGGTGGCGTCCATTACGCGGCCTTTTTGTCTCTCGCAACTTCGATTCAGCCTCTGCATACATTCACGAAGAACGCTAGTGATTGCCTGCACCAGCCAGGGCGGCGTTTTCGCTACTAATAAATATTGGCTGGCCCACACACGGGCAGATGCACGTGAGATGTGTAATGTCTTTTTTTAAATACATTTTAACAATACTGCGCGTTTAGATGATGTAAGTAACAAGTGCGCGAATCGGGTGATTCGCGTACGAGTTCAACTTGTCGCGCGAGCGAACGTGAGGGCGAAGAAAAAGCGCAAAAGATATTAACACGTGATGAATAAACTATTTTTTAACACTTTCATTTTGAATAAATTTATTATAGTTATTAAATTGTTACTTTATTTGAAAATTTAAGATGACTACTTTACTTTGCTAATCAAAGCGTGACAGCGTATTTGATTTTTTTTCAGTCGGAGACAGAGTGAAAATGAATAGTTTTCGTCTCCATATTGTGCATCAGCGTTTGATATATCTTGCGCTGTTTCTCTTTTAATGTGTCGACCAAATAACGTAACGTCATTGCTGTCAACTCCACTAAAACGCAAACGGCCGCGTCGGATGTGGCGTGTGATTAGACTCCCGAGGGAGGATTGTTGCCCGTAAATAATGCCGTGAGTTCGGAACAGCAAACATAACGCATTGATTTCGCGTGATCGAAATATTTCGCGACATTAATATTTCCTATAGTCACTCTAAATACTTTCAGAGGCACAATATTACTAAATTATATACTCCTGGAAGTAAATTTTTTTAAGCAAAGAATAAAAGTTCTTGAATGTTCGTAACGTGTGTCTCTAGATGCCATTCTGAAAGATAGACTGAAATAAAATACAGATTGTAACATTTTTTTTCTTCTCTTTGATAATGACTCATGAATGCTTTCTTTACAATTCGGTAGTTTCTCATGGTGATATTAATTTGACTGGCACTGACGCAAACCATATTTATGGCAGTCTTAAATTTTTGCTGGAATTATCCTGCAGATGCGATCTCGCAGGTTTGCAAGCACGTCGCGTTAATAAGATATCAGGAGAACCTGTCATCGGAATTGTCATCGTTTCTCAGTGGTAGCCTAGCATTATGTTGCACCGACCAGGTAATGGAGGAGGAGGTCGTGTCTTCAACAGCCGGAGCGGATTCTCGTGCTCCGGGGCGGATATATTAGCATCCACGCTACTTTCCGGCACGCCACTGCCTCATCGGCGTCGACAGCGTTGGCGGAGCGCTTAATCCACGCAGGTGGAGCCGAGATCAGACTCTCGAGGAAGATTTTCGGCTGCTACTTAATTTTTATTTGAGTCAGAGTTATAATAATAAAATAATGTAATCACGCCATTGAAATTTTAAATGTACGAAGATGTGCTATTTATTGTACGTTTTTTAGATCCTGATATTAACTAAGAGAGAAAACAAGAACCAAATGAAATGGCTCCAAATGCGCGATTGTATTGTCATATTTGTATAGTTTAATATTTGTTATACGAAAGAGAAATGGTATGTACTAAATATCACAAGCACAATTGGCAACATATATCATTAATGATTGACGTTAAATGATTAGTATAGTAATGATTTCTCCTAGGCGAACCCTACATCTTTAGAGAAGTTCCATCCTACATCCCGAACCAATTTTTTGCAAACTGCTCCTCTGCCATCTGTCGATATAAACGTTGCAAGGTGAGTGTTTCCGTTGTGTTCGGCAATCGATTGTCATTTTCTTGTTTTCGAAATCCGCGGCGAGGCGCTGTACACACACGGCATCTGGGGCGTCTGCCTTGTTCCTCGTTTCATTTCCGCCGTGAGGTGATTGCCAATCTGGCAGAAGGCGCCTTGGGCGCGACGGGCGAAGGCGCGTGATCCCTGGCCCCGCCGGCGGATACGCCGCCGCTGCTTATTCGAGCGGGCGGGAATCGCCCCTCTCCACCCGCACCCCACCCCTCCTCGACCCTCCTCACTCCATTCCGCACCCGTCCGCACCCCGCTCGCTCTTCCTTCTCGCTTCTCCCCCGCTTCCTGGGCCCTCATCCCTCACTCACCCCTCTCTCCTCACTCCACCCCATCCTCTCACCGACTCCCCTCTCACTTCCACCCTCGTGCTTCCCTCACTCACTCGTTCCCTTCCCTCACTCTCACCCTTCCCCTCCTCACTCACTACCCTTCGGCTTCCCTCACTCCACCCTTCCTCTCAGGTCCCAGCTCGTTTCCCCTCTCACTCCACTCCGCCCTCCTCACTCCACTCCGCCCCTCCTCACCCCTCCCATTCTTCCTTCCCCCGCCCCGCTTCTCCGCCCCTCCTCTACTCCTCCCCTCTCACTCTTACCCCCCCTCATCACTCCATCCTTCCCTCCGTCCCCACCCGCCCCTCGCTCACCTCCCCTATTCTTCCCTCCCCCGCCCGATTTCCTTGCGCCCCTCCTCTCACCCTCCCTCTTAACTCCACCGCCCCCATCTCGTTCACTCGCCCCTCCTCACTCACCCCTTCGTTCCTTCTCCTCACTCCTCCGCTTCTCACCCCTCCCCATGCCTCGCCACTTCCCCCCACAGCTCCCCGCCCCGCTTCCGGAGGCCGTCCTGCGCCGCGCCGACCCGCCACCCGATCTCGCTGCTGCCCCCTCTTTCGATCTTATTCGTTTCGTTCTGGCTCCGCCCCAGGA